CTTCATGCAACATGTTGCACAACCACATTCAAAGGTTTAACCACAAGTTGCAAGCAACAATGCTGCATAGTGAATCCGTGTTGTGTTGCATCACATAGTTGTTTTGTGTTAATATAACACATCAGTTTTATCTGTGCATGTACATGTATTTGCTTTATTTTCCTCAGACTGGTGTTGAAGAAGCTATCACTTGTGAAGAAGAACATTTGAGAGTAGAAAGTGCAAGTATATGCCATTGGCTTAGTATTATTATCAGTTTTAATTATTTTAGAGCTAATTAGTGAATTATTATCCCAATCAATGTAAAAGACAAATAACAACTGATATAATAATAATTAAAATACTTGCATGCTGCTATAGTTATCAATAACAATTTTATAGCAATAAAAACTACTGTAGATAATAGATCTACATAACTTTGAGCATGTCTGAGCACAGATAATATCAATGGTGTGAGCAACACAGTAGTCTGTTATACTAGAAATAAACAAAATGATTGACATGATAATCATTATTTTTAATAACTAATTTTTTAATTCTTACAATAATCGTAGCTGTAGTATTCTGCAAAGACCAACCGTTCCATCATTGGATGGTATTCTGTGTATGTTTCAGTAAAGGTCTTCTTGTGTTTTACATCAAGCATCAGTCTTCTTACACTCTTGTTTGCAGATAAAGCCTGAAGAAGAAGTAGCACTGATTCTGAAGACATCATAGTTACCCTCAAATCAATTCCCCATATTCTATCAGTAGCAAGGATGAGCTCACAGAGAGCCTCTGCACAAGCAGATGTAATGAGTGGATTATGAGAAAGATCTAATCTGCTCAATGTAGAATTACAGTTCTGCACAATTGCTTGGGAAAGGCTAATTACACCTTTGTCACCAATAGAGTAATAAATGATACATAACTTTCGTATTGTTTTACTACTACTCAGTATTTGACACAGGCACTGGATGCAGTCATGAGGTAGTGGAGCAAAATATATCACAATAGCATGCAGCATCATTGTTCTCAATACAGGTGCTGAGAGTAAAATCAGTGCAGAGTGAGGTGAAAATTTCTGCTCTATACTAAAATCTCTATCAATATCATTCAGTTTATTGGTCACATCTTCACACTGAGCAGGAGATGGACACTCAAGAAGTACAATGCTTTCATGCCATTCTACTTTTCCAGGCTCTACAATTGATGTATTAAACAGCATATTAATCCAAAATGATATTGAGATTGATAACGTGTTTTAGACAAATTACCTGTTTTGTTGTATCGAGTTATATCCTGTCTCAGAGCATCTAACATTATAGGATCGTCATTAAGAGTTTCCATAAACAAACTGGCTTTCTCATCATCATTATCAAAATCATTCCTTATCTTACAGAGAGTAGGATAAGACAATTTTGATTCATAAATTGCAAACTGAAATAGCATAAGTGTATTTAATTTTGACTCAACATAAGAAAATGGAATTTCTCCTTGAAGGCCAGAAGTCAAAGATCTTCCAAAAAGCCGTGTTAGTCC